AAACCAAGGCAAGAAAATTTAAAGTGGTACAGGGTTTCAAGATAAAATAATACAAGTTAACAGTGGTTGTTGTATTACATATCGCTGTCCTCAACTACATTACCCAGATTACCAGATGTAACAATGGAAGATTTTTCAAACCGCTAAAGAGAATAAGAAAATAATTATTAGATAAAACATTAGAGATAATAAAGAGTTTCACTAGAGAAGATGGTAGGAAACCACCATGGTAATTTCATTGCATATTGTTACCTTCAAATCAGTTGCTCAGATTACCAGATATAAGCATGCAAAATTGATCACAACATGAAAAATTTTAAGCATTAACTGTTCCTTTCAATATGCCATCAGACATCAGCAATACAGTTATAGCAGCTGTTCATATATATATATTTATATTATGCCCGCCTTCTTTCTTTTTTCTTCTTTCCCTCATCCCAGTCGCTTTGAGCAATTTTTTTCCCTTTCTTATCATCTATTGTACATTTTGAGTTTTAATTATTCTTTCAGGTTCCTACAACAAAGAGAAAATATGCTGTTTACACATGTGGGTCTGATTTATTTCACTTATGAGTATGGTCTCTAGTTGCATCCACTTACCTACAAAAGCCTCAAGTTTATCTTTTTTTTATAGCTGAGTAATACTCCATTGTATAAAAATACCACATTTTTTTTTATCCATTCCTCATGTATGGGCACTTAGGTTGTTTCCAAGATTTAGCTATAACAAATTGTGTTGCTATAAACATGGGTATGCATATATTGCTGTGGTATGATGTCTTTAATTCTTCTGGGAAAATACCCAAAGGGGAATAGCTGGGTTAAATGGCACTTTCAATCCTAGTTTTGTGAGGATTCTCCAAACTGATTTCCACAGTGGTTTCACCAATCTATACTCCCACCAGCAGTGGGGTAAGGTTCCTTTCCCCCCAAAGCCTATTCAGCATTTGTTATTGTTTGATTTCTTGATGATGGCCATTCTTTCTGGGGTGAGACAAAATCTCAGTGTTGTTTTAATTTGCATTTCTCGAATGTGGTTGAACATTTTTTCATGTATTTATTTGCCATTAGTATCTCTTCATTTGAGAAGTGTATATTCATCTCAGATGCCCATTTTTGGATTGGGTCTTTGAATTTGAAAGGCCTGAGTTTTTAAAATTCTTTATGTGTCCTAGATAGAAGTCCTTTGTCTGAGGGAGAGTTGGTTAAAATTTTTTTCCCAGTTCATGGGTTTTCTTTTTACTCTACTGGTGATTTCTTTAGATGTGCAGAAACTTTTCAATAAGATGAGGTACCAGTTGTTGATTCTTTGAAGTATTTCCAGTGCTGTTTAGTTTTTGTCCATGAACTCTCTGCCTATCCCAATGTCTTCAAGATTTTTACCTACTTTCTCTCCCAATATATTTAGTGTTTCTGTTTTAATATTTAGATCTTTGATCTATTTTGACCTTAATTTAGTACATGGTAAAAGACATGGGTCTAGTTTTAGTCTTTAGCATATGGAAAGCCAGTTTTTCCAGTACCATTTATTAAAGAGGCTATCTTTCTTCCATTGAACATGTTTGGCCCCTTTGTCAAAGATAAGGTGACTGTGTGTTTGTTGTTGTACCTGTATCTTCTAATCTGTTCCATTGATCTTCAGATCTGGTTTTGTGCCAGTACCATGCTGACTTTATCACAGTAGCTTTGTAATATAATTTTAAGTCAGGAATTGTGCTGCCTCCTGCTTTTCCTTTGTTTCCCAAGATTGATTTTGCTATTCTAGGCCTCTTCTGGTTCCAGATCCAATTGATTCTTATATGGAATAAATTTAACAAAATTGTATTGTTAAATTTCCTGTTGCATTATTTTATAAAAAATAACCAAAATGCAATTTTGGTCACCCTGTGTTAAAATAATCAGACTATTATGTGGTTAATAATCTAAGTTTTGGCAGTGTCTATTCTTACTGAAACCTTTACATTTCTAATTGTACTGATTTGTGTCTTTGCTTTTATTGGTAATATTGTCTGAAGTTTTTTCCAATTTGCTTATCCTCACAAAAAACAAGTCTTTAATTCATTAATTACTTTAGTCTCAATTTCTTTAATTTTTCCTCTGCTGTTTAGAATTTTCTTCTTTATAATAGCTTTGGATCTGGATAGTTCTTAATTTTATAGGATTTTCACATGAATCATTAGGTTATTTAGTTGGGCTCACCCTGCTCCTCTGATGAGGGCATTCACAGCTCCAAAATTCACTCTTAGGATAGGTTTTATTGTGTCCCATAACTTCTGGTATGTTGTGATGTCATTATTATTTACTTCTACAAAATGTCTAATTCGGGGCTGGGGATTTAGCTCAGCGGCAAAAGCGCCTGCCTGGCAAGCGCAAGGTCATGAGTTCAGTTCCCGGTACTGGAGAAAAACAAAAAAAAAAAAAAAAAAGTCTAATTCTTTATTTCTTTTGTGATACATTGATTATTCAAAAGAACATTTTAAAATCTGCACACATTTGCATAATATCTGGGCTTTCCTTTGCTACTTATTTCATTACCATATTATCTGATAATATGTGATTCATTTGAGTTTATTTAAGCATACTTCATTGGCTAGTACGTAGTGTATTTTGGAGAAAATTTCTTGCGCTGCTGAGAAGAATGTATACTCTGTTCCTGTTAAGTGGAACACTTTGTAGCTATTCACTAAGTCCATTGTTCAAAGTTTCAGCTCATCTCTGATATTTTGTTGATTTTTGTATAGCTAGTCTGCCTTTTTTATAGTGGGTTATTGAGGCTATCCAGTATAATTGTGTTTATGTTATCTGATCTTATGTGTCCAGTAGCATTTGTTTTATGTGTTTGAGCACACTGCTGCATAGTACTTATATGTATATATTTGTTATCTCTTCCTGCTGGTGTTCCCTTAACCAATATGTAGTGACCTTTTTTGCTTTTTCTGATCAGTTTTGTTTGAAAGCCATCATGTCTTAAAATGGGATAGTTACTCATCTGTTCCCTTGAGTTCCCTTTGCACGGTTATTGTTTACCATCCTGTTATTTTTAATGTGTGGATTTTTTATTAAATGTATTCCTTATCAAATATATATGAAAAAGGGAGTGAACAGGCTTAGGGGAAAAAACTAAAACTGAAAATCTATGAGAAAAATAGATTTAGGGCTGATAAATATTTTCTGTTGCTATAAACAAAGTACTCAGTCTGCTTACTATGCAAAAATAGTGTTTATACTGGCTTAAGATTCTGGAGGATGAGAAGAGAAGGTACCCAAACTGCTCATCTCTCGGTGAGGGCCACATGCCACTACAGCACATCTGTACAGAAAAGCGAGGTCACTATGTTAGTATATCTCTGTGGATAATGCTCTATTTTTCATCATAATGTAAATGATATAGTAAGGAGTGTATCATTTGATAACATCATATAATGCCATACATTTATCTTGCCATATGTATATATGAAATTCAGACACTGAGGAGACAACCTAATCTAAAAGTAGAATTTAAAATCTAAGACTCTTAAAATGACAGTCATTGAGACTGAGGTGTAAGTCAATTAATACAAACCAAGGATGTTCAGGCTCCTCTGTTCCCAACAGAACCTGTCAGAAACAATTCTAAATGAGCAAACTAAATGAAACACTTCAAAGCCCATGTTGTCTTTCAAAAAGTGCCCAAAGTGTCCTAAATTCTGGAGACAAATTCACTTCAAAAAAGCACAAGTATGAAAATTTTCTGCTAAACAGTAACCGTCAGGTCGATGAGAAATCTACTTTGGGCTCACTTTGTGTCACACAGGGCAGGCTTTGAACCACCTGGTCTTTGTTTTTTTCCTTTGTTCTTGTCCTGCACTGTTTTTTCAAACAAGGTTTTGCTATGTAACCCAGGCTGCCCTTGAACTCACTGCAATTCTTCTGCTTCAGCCTCCCGAATATTGGGATTACAAGCATGTACCACCACACAAACATGCACCTCCACACCTAGCTTGTGCTGGATTTGCATCATTAAATTTCACCTTATTTTATTCAATGACAGCTGGCCTTCTTACATGAGTAAGTGGGCTTTCTCATTAAAGCATGCATGATTTTCTGATATAAATTACAGACTATTCTGCTATATCTCCACCAGTCCAACTTGGTTAATGACGGATTGGAGTAAGAGATGTGATGTAACTGAGGTATAATGGGTATATAATAAAGTCAAAGTATAATATGATGTCTTTATTAAAGTAACTCAGGAAAAAGTCCTAAAATAAAAAATGCATTGGAGCTGGGTGTGGTGTCACGTGCCTGTTATCTCAACAGTCAGAAGGCTGAGGCAGGAGGATCACCTTGAATTTATGGTTACACATTTTAGTCATTACAACAATGACCAATTATTTTAGTAAAATAAGTATTAAAAATCACTTGTAGTACTTCTAATCCTGTTTATGTTGTGCATAACTTTTAAAATGTATATAATATTTTTAAAATTTAATAACGTCTCAGAATTCCTGAAATATTAAAGACCATTTAATGATCTCTAAGCCATTTTAATAAATATAGTTAAATATATGTCACCTCTCTTATTCTACATTTACAGACTCAATTTTTAAACTATCATTGCATTTCAATTTATCATAAAAATTGGTGCATTACTTTGGTTATAGCATTATAAGTTTTCATACAGGTACTAAAATATCCCAGGAAAACTGGCATTCACTTATTTCTGTATTCTTTTTCACGAACATTTTAGTTCATTGTTTTTATTGTCCACCAATAATATTTTGTCAACAGTAAAATATTCCTTATTTTGCCAGGAGACGTCTGATTTTCTAGGGAAAGTCCTAGTTTCTTCTCTTAAAACAACAATCTTCATTCTCCACCTCACCCCACCCCACCCCACCCCTCCTGACCCCACCCCACCCATTGAAACTGAGCTAGAGAGCACACCACTGCTCTCACCATTTGTTAGCTCTGAAGCACAAAGCTCAGAGCACTGTCCCTGACATCGCTCATCTGCAGAAATGAGTAACCAAAGGTTACTGAATCTGGCCAAGAACCAAAGGAAGCAACAAAGGAAACATGTGGGGGCTAAAAGTCCCATTTGCCTCCCTGAGCAGGAAATAACCCATGAGGAATTAAACCTTAGAAATGCCTCTCAGGAGTCTCCAGACAATATGTGTGACCACTGCAAAGGTAAAACTTTTCTTTCCTTGTCAGTGTCATTGTTTAAGGATATGCCAGTAGAATTTCAAGGGTGTGGATAAAAAAGTAAGGAACACACCTACCGATTTCATTTGTGAAGACAGGAACTCTAAATTGAGCTATGTTATTCTAACATGAGGCACGAAGAGTAATTTTATTTACACATTGTCCAAAGTTCTAGTCTTTGAGAAAAAATTCAGGGAGCACTGTGTTTACTGAAAATGTAGTGGGATATTCTAAAGGCAGATTGTGATGATAACTGTGGATGTGAGGTCCAAGTTTCTATTCCCCGCTGCATCTGAGTTTGCGTGTATGTGACCTGAAGGGTCGGCTTAATCCTCTTTTCTCACTGCTGCCATTTCTCTTCTTATAGGTTTTCTGTCATCTCCAGAGAAGCTCATTGCTGGGATCCTGGGACTCATCTGCTTAAAAGTCACTATGTTGGTCACAATGACAATCACTACTTCCTGTAAGAATATTTTTGGAAAATAATAAGGGAATGTTTTACCTTAATAATTGAAATTACCTGAAAACATTTCATAATATCAAGGAATAGAATGCTCATTTTATTGGACTCAACATGGATGGTTATTCTGAATTTGTCAAAACTGTAAATGACAAGAAAATTTGAGATTTGTTTAAAATTATATTATGTAATTATGTTGTATAATTATTGAATTACTTTTCGAGAAATCTTTCATTATTACATTCATTTTCTTGGTTAAATAGTTTTTTCCATGTTATTCTAATTCTGCACAGCATACAAGTTTCAAACTAAGAAATAGTCGTATTTAGATGTTAATTTTCACAAGAATTACTTTATTTTTCTAGCTACTGTAATATACCCAGTGGATAATTCTTTCCTGATAAGAATACAGAAAGGTACATAATGATTCAGTGTTGTGATGGTTGTTCAGAGTATATTTTGTCTCTAGTTAAATCCATGCAGAAAATGATAGCAGAATTCTTACAGGAAAAGAAACTAGAAAAAAATGGGCACTAACTATTCACAAATAAGGATCACAGGAGAATATTACTTTTTGTCCTATATTATGAAAAAATACCATTTAAAATTGGTATACAATCTTTCTCGATTAGTTCAAATTTCTTATTGATATCATATGAAAAGAGGTAAATAGATTTACTGTTTTAGAAAGGAGGCATTGTTCAGTGATTTTGAAAACACATAGGGTGCAGTGTGTTTGTTTGTTTGCTTTATATGGAAACATAAATGGCTGATGGGGTGACGAGCTCTTCCCTGTTCTTGTGTGTGAGTGTCTGCTTTGCTTTATAACTACCAGCCTGTGGGGGTACATAGATATGGTATATGCTTATATGAAGGAAAACTTGTAAACTTATTTTCAATTTTAAAAATTCACAATGTTTCTTGATAGAAATCCACAATCTTTCCTCAGCATATCATTGTGGCCGTTGTCCAAATGAGTGGCTAATATTTTCCAACAATTGTTATTACTTTGGTGTGGAAAAGAAAACTTGGAAGGAGAGTGTGGTGTCCTGCATGTCTAAGAAGTCTAGCCTGCTTTATATAGATGATGTGAAAGAAATGGTAAGATTTTAACAGCTAATTAAAGCTTTATTTTGGCCAATATGATATATGTACAACTCATCCACATTCATATATATATATATATATATATATATATATAATTTAAAAGTCTATATAATATTTTGTGGTTTGACTATAAAATATTTTATTTTTATTTGTTTGCTGCTAATGCACATTTAATTATTTCCAGATTTTGCCTTACTTTGAAAGCCATGCTTATACAAAAGTTTTTTTCTGATGTAACTTTTGGTATGTAATTTTGCCACACATAAAGAAATCTAAACATCTCCTGATCATACGGACGGATCACAAAGTAAGTAAGCAGATGTCATTAATGTCAGATGAGAAATAGAACTCTGCAGCCTCAGCTGCCCTGGCCCTGTGTATAATCTCTTCTGTTCTTTTTCCTCCTCAACCACCATCCTGCCTTTTGCTATTGTAGATTAGTTTTGCCTGGTTCTGAGATTTCTCTGAATGGAACCAGGCTGTATGTACTTTTACATCTTTTCCTTTCTCCCTTACATGGTTTGCAGGTGATCCACCAGCACTTTAGTTTGCTAATTTCTAGAATGTAGCAGTTTCAGATCCACTGCACCTGGTGACTCTGGACGGGAAGAGCAAATTTCATAGTCTCAGAACAGAGGCTTCCTAGATGGGGCATTTGTAGTCCCAGAAGCCCCTTTGCGGAACCTCACTCTCCATCGTTGTCCAGGTGTCCCTTGAGGAGGAGAAGCACTTCCACTGCAGCTTACAGTTGGCTGGTCTCTGGAGAGATCATGCTTCCCAGGGGACTCAGCCTTGTGTGGTGCTGCTGGAGGGCTCCGTTAATGCAGAGGAGGACTGAGCTTGGACAGACACTGATTATTGCCAGGCTGGGTGCCTGGAGCCTTGAGCCTGCAGGCCAAGTCCCTTTCCTCTCTTGATGATAGATGTAAGAAGCCGTGCTACTCTGGTTCTCTAATCCTGGGGACCAAACCTGTTCACCTTCTTTCTACCTTTCAGAATTCTCCTTTACTTGTATCTTATATTAACTCATGAGTTTATGTCAGAAAGAAACAGAGGAAAACAAGTTGACGCAGTTTTGCCTAAACCAAGAGTATTCCACCAGTGCAGGCACAAAGGGGCAGCTTATGTAGCTAACAATGGTGTGGTGCCCAGAAAAACGCGTTCTTGGCTTCCATGTTATTTATTTTGTCAGTAGTAAGCTAGTAATTTCCTTCTAAGATCCAAACTCTGAGAAATCTAGTAGAAAAATACATTTTTTCAGTCACAACATCTGCAGAACTTAATGTATCTAAAACTTATTTAAATTTTGTAGTATCTAAAAACTTATTTAAATTTTGCTAGATTTGTTTTGTTAACATGGGTAATTATATTACATAAATCACAACATCCCTTTTAACATAAGATAAAAGCAAATATTAAGAGTGAACATCTAAGAGTTAGTTTCAATTAATATTAAAAACACTTGTAGAAATTTTTAACAATGCCAAACTTGTTTTTAACTTTGATATGATTTGTCTTATCGATTTTTTATTTTGAGAATTAAGAATTCTGCAAAATAATACATTGCTTTTTGAAATAGTGAAAGCTTTCATACTGATTATGTAAATTAATTCATTTGTTTCTGACAGAAATTTATAAATTCTCTCTCACGTCCATCTTGGATCGGCGTCTCCCGTTCCAGCAGAGATCATCCTTGGCTGTTGGTAAATGGTTCAATGTCCAATCTGCAGTAAGTACTTTTTAACAGTTGATACATGTAGAAGATGAAATAAAAAATATTCAGAAGAATGTTATTATTAATTTATTTGAACATTCAGATATAGGTTGCAAGTTTGTGAAATATTAATATAAATGTTAATGAATGGTTTGTTTTCTAAATTCCAGCTCTTAGTAACATCATTATATGAAAAGTCATTATCTATTTAATATATCATAAAAGTAGATCACTTTTTTTAACAGGAAAATGCTTTTTTAACAGGAAAATGTTTCATAGGTCATTCCCCAAACATAAAACTTAATGGTACATTTTTCACCATTACAGGATAAAGAACTCGTCTGGTGAATCCAACTGTGTGTGGTTATCTTTATCTCATTTTATTGCTGGAAACTGTGGATCATTATACATGTATACTTGTAAACGTAAATTTTTGAATTAATATACCTGAATTTGGAAACTGTGAGGTAATTTTCTATTTCATAAAATGTAATAATATTATTCTTATACAGGTCTTCAATTGATGAGTTCTACTAACAGACTTATTTTTAAAAAAAACACTATTGAAATATATTAGTTAGACTACTAATAGGAGGATACTGCTTTTGTGGCTACTTCCTTTTGCTTAAGATTATATTTAGGGCATTCAATTTTTCTAAAAGATTGTACATGCTACCTGAGTCCATTTCTGTGAGATATCAAGAAGAGGCAAATGCACAGACAATGTGGATTGGGGGTTTTGAGAGACTAATGAGTAGGAGAGTGATAAACTCAGACATGACTACTAGTCAGGACAGCGTTTCCTTTCTCAATAGTGTAAACGTTAGAAAACTTGATTGTTGTAACTCTGTGAATGTACTAACAACCACTGGTATATGGCCGTGTTAAAGGATGAATTATATGCTGTGTACATTAATTTCAATAAAACTGTTTTAAAATGGGATTATGTTTGAGGCTACATTTAATCTTCATGTAATTTTTAAAGTGTAGTCATCATTATAACCATCAACATTAAAGACACTTGTGGAAAATTTTAGCAAAGCAAAAGTTGTTTTGTCTTTAATATGGTTTATCTTAACAATTTTTTTATCTTGAAGATTAAGAATCTTGCAAAATAATACATTATTTTATAAATAATGAAAGCTTTTATAATGATTATGTAAATAACATATTTGTTTTGGATACAAATTTCTAAATTCTCTCTCACGTCCATCTTGGATCGGCGTCTCCTGTTCCAGCAGAGATCATCCATGGCTGTTGGTCCGTGGTTCAGTGTTCACTCTGCAGTAGGTTTTCTTTTTTAACAATTGATACATGAAGAAGAAGACATATGAAAACGCAGTATTCAGAAGAATGTTAGTGTTAATTTATTTGAATTACACACCTGAAAAAAGATCTTGCAAGTTTGTATTAATATAAATATTAATTAATAGGCTGTTCTTAAAATGCCATAATTATTTAATAATATTCTGTGTTGCAATAAAATACTTCTGTTTCAGAGATAATTCCCCCAAAATGTAACTTGATAATGCATTTTTCACCACTGCAGGATAAAGGAATCATAGTCTGGTGAGCACAGCTGTGTTAGACCCTTCTTAACTGGCCTTATTGCAGGCAATTGTGGATCATCATGCACATTTAATTGTAAACATAAATTTTAGAATTGATATACCTGAATTTGGAGAGTTTTTCAATAATTTTCTATTTCATGAAATGGAAATAATATTATAATGATATAGGCCTTAAATTAAATCATATGGTTTCTTGTAATAACAGAATTATTCTAAAGAACTATTACAGTATGTGTATCATACATATTAGAAGTAAAGATATTGCTTTTATGTCTCGTTTCTTTTGTTCAACATTATGTTTGAAGTATTCAACTCTTTTAAAAGATTACAGAGGCTGCATGAGTCCATTTCTGTGAAACATCAAGAGGAGGCAAACTCAGAGGCAGTGTGGATTGGGAGTTGGGAGAGGCAAAACAGGCTAAGAGAAAGATGGAATTCAACATGATTATTACTCAGTATAGTGTTTCTCTGGGGGGGGGATGGAAGCTTTTAAGATTTTTATAGTTAAAACTATATGAATGTACTAGAACCACTCATTCATACCCATGTAAATGGATACGTTATATGCTGTCATATTACATTCCATTAAAAGTGTTAAGAATTCTTCTGGGATTAGGTTTTATACTATAATAATCTTTAAGGCAAAATTTAAAGTTTAGTCATCTTTATAATACTGACTTTCCCTCCCAATATCATGCTATGTTTTTCAACATATAGCCTTCTTTCATGTCTCCCTATCATAGTTTGAATGTTTGATGTGCAAATCTTAACGCAACTACAGGCATTCACCTGCATGCTTTTGTCAATGGCATCCATACTTTAACATTTTCTTTAGAAATGTTTGGTACTGCAAGTAAAAACAAAGTCAAGTTTTGCATGCTGACCTTGTATCTAGTGACTTTACTGATTTTATGTATCAGTTCTTGCTATGGATTGTATCTAGATGTCACCCCAAAATCTCATGTGGTTATAAGTGAGGTTTTTTGGAGGTGGTCGGATCTAGTACATGTAATGCTAGCATTCAGTGTGTGATTCTGGGATTGAATGTATGATGCTAGGATGAAGAGTATGATGCTGGGATTAAGGATGACCCACTCTAGGTGTGGGTGACACCACCCAAAGGACAGGTACCCTGGATAAAATATAAAGGCAGGATTGGCTGCTGCTGCTGCTGCTACTGCTGCTGCTGCTGCTTTGCTGCTTTGATGCCTCCTACCTGCCACACTATGAACAGTTCCTCCTCTGTGATGACCCTCTGCCATGCAACCCTGCCTTGGAGCCAGCAACTATGGACTGAAACCTCTGTAAACTGTAAGATGAAATAAGTCTTCCCTCCTTTAAATTTTAGTGTCAGGTAGTTTGTCTCAGCAATGAGAAAAATAACTAAAACAATTCTATTACTCAAATAGAAATCCTTCTGGGTTTCTTTTTTAAAAAGCTACTTTATCTGCAAAGAATCACACTTTTACGTTTTCTTTCCAAATGCAAATACTATTTGCTTTTTTTTTTACTTGTTTTCAGTGGCTGGTGTTTTATTTTCAGTGGTGCAGTGGAGGTGTAAAAAATGATATTTGTATCTCATATACATCATCATATATTTTAGAAGAAAAGATTTCAACATATCATCCCGATTTTTGAATTTTTTCATCCTACTTTTCTCATATTGAAGGATTCCTATTTCTATTTCTCTCATAGATTTTATCAACTGATTTTATCTTTTATTATTTTTTAATCAATTGAAATTGTTTTCTCTGCATATTTGTGAAAAATTGCCTATATTTCCTTCAAATATTGAATCAGTTTTGTCATTAATATTTTATCTATTCAACATATACTTAGACATATCCACACAATTTTTCCTTCTATACTTCTTTCCATATCCAATATTGTCATCTGAAATGAGTATTACATACTTAGAATTAAATATTTCTAACTACACATGCTATGTAGAGTAAGGTGGTTTTCTTCCTCTAAATTTTTTTGTCCTTATCTGAGCGTAGAGCTTATTGAACATACGTGCCAAAAGAGTTAAAAAATTCATATCATTACAGAAAATGAAGGACGTGATATGTAACATTATTTAAATGAAAACATCAATGGGACATGTGTTGTAATAGTAGATATAAATAATTCCAAATTAAAAATAAAACATCAGTGAATGTTAAGCTATTTAACACCTTTAAAGGGTGGTTTCATTATTTTAATTCTAAAATTTTCAGAAGAGAAAAGATTATTAATTTGCACAACTTTATTAGCACCTAAATAGAAATACATTTAGTTCTAAATAAAAATAAAGTATATGCACCGATAAACATAGATTGTCAGTTTATGAAAATATAATGAATACTCTTTATAGAATTATGTTTATAATCATGCATCATTGATAACAATAATACATTGAGAAACACATAATTAATCTATTTTGTCATTGTGTAAATATCATGGCACACTGAAACAGCTATGATGTCATGGGATGATATGATCTTATGGAGCTAGTATTGAATATGTGATTCATGTTGACCAAAATGTGTTTATGTGGCACGTGATTATAAAGATTCCAAAAATTAAAAATTAAAAACATTTAAATTCTACTTTTGTGGACTTTAGGAAGCAAGAAATTTGACTGGTGTGAGTTCAGTGTCTTAGAGCTTGAACAAGAAGTGATTCATCAGTACAATATCCTGGAGAATATTACAGGTGAAGATATTCATGTGCATATAAGGGAATAGAGCACAGGGTATGAACACCAAGAGAAGAGCATCCTGCCTGGTACTCTTGAGAGCTGACTAACACAACCTTCTACCACAATGTTACCATTAAATCAGATGCTGGGGAGCACAAAAGGCTTGGTACCAGGCAGATCTAGCATGATGAGGAGATCAATAATGTCTGTCTTGGTTACTTTTCTCTCGTTGCTGGGACGAAATACCTGATGCCCAAAATTAAGGAAGGAAAAGTTTATTTCGCTTACAGTTTGTGGAGGTTTTAGTCCATACTTGGCAGGTTACAAGGCAGACTGGCACATGGCAGAGAGCTACAGCTCATGGTGGCAGAACACAGCAAAACAACAAGCTCACACAAGGGAGGAAATGGCCAGAAGCACCCTCTTGCTCTCCCTTACAAATACAAACTATCCACCCCAGGGTGGGTGTAGCTCTCACACCCATAATCAATCAAACTCTAAAAGCCTGCCCCATGGCCACATGAGGCTTTGGGGGGACACCCAGACACAAACCATAACAATGTCATAGCACCACCCTTAGTTTATGTCTCCCTGCCCTGGGTCAAGTGATGCCAAGGTCACACCTACTTAAAATTCACTAGTCCTTTATCTGAGTATATTCTCAACTAAAGAGATATAGGAATAAACATTTACATACACACAGAGGCACCTACATCTATCTACCATCTATATACCTAAAAAAGTATAATCATATTGAAACAGCTCATTCCATTCTGATTTCACAAAGTTCCTTCTAGTTGTATCACTCTGTGAATCAGTAATTCCTTTCCCAACAATGAGAAAGTGGGCCTCCTTTATCCTGGTGATATTTACTTATTGGTTCAATTATTTTTTTCTTCTTTTTCAAACTTTTAATTCATTATGTGTGTGTGTGTATGTGTGTGTGTGTATACACATTTTGGGGGGGAAAAAAAAGCAGGATACATTATGCACACATACAGATTCAATTCTTTTACACAGAGCCAAATTCTACCCATTCCTCCTCACTCAGGATCCCCTCACTTTGCCTGGATTCTTCACTTCCTATTTTGGCCTTCACTGCTGTTGCCTGGATACTCATCAGTGTACACCCCTTTCCACCTTACTTGGACTCCTACCCCCAGGTATGCTGCTCCATAATGTAGATGCCATCCACATCCTTCTTGGTCTGATTTAGAGCAACCATGACAACCTCCTGCACCCAATGTGTGCCAGGTTGTTGCACCCCATTGATGACTTTAGGCCTGAATAAGTTAGGAAAGGTAGAATAGGAACCTAACAAGGAGGAAACACTGGTAACTTCTGATACCAGATGAACCTGTCTAATCCTTTAGGACATTTTGCTGTCAATTGACCAACAAATTATTTTTAATTCATTGTGCATTGTATTGAGATAGTTTAGTGTTGAAGGAATTCAAGGAAATAAAGAAAAACGTTTCTAGACTCTGAGGACCATCAGAAGAGATGATAATGAATCAAAACAAATAATAAAGTAATAAATGCCTCACTGAGTTTCACTAAAAACATGTGTTTCACAAAGGAGAGACTTAAACAATGAATATAATTTCTGAGAAATGAGCAGTCAAGATGCATCACCTCTCACATCTAATAATCAAATTGTGATCTGAACAGGTTCACATAAGCCAGTGACTGTGATGACCAAAATCTGTTTGTGTTTCTCCTTGCACCTAGACCCCTTCTTCCTTCATAATAAACATGTAAACATATTTTGAAATATTTATTTTTACTTTCAATAAGATAACTATTGCAAAATATTGAAAATATTTTATGTAAATTTGACTAATAAAGTTGTTGTAATAATTCCTATTGTCATTAAAATTACTGATTAAAATTAAGGAGAGATATTTACTTCAACCATTTCTCAAAATGAATTGATGAAGCTAAAGAGGTCCCATGAGAACAAGGAAGTGTGCATGTCTGACACTGATTTAGTTATTTGCTTTACATTCAGAACAGATAATACTTGACACAGACACTGAGGAAGCCTGATGAATGAAAAAAATTTTCAATCATTCCCCCAAGGAAAGCATATTAAATCCATTTTTTTTTGTACTTTATTCAAAAGCAATGAAAACTTCTGATGTTCTGGATCACAGCCTCCTTGAAAACCATTGCTGAAGTCCTTAGAGAAAATCAGGTTCCATTTAAGGTCTAACCTCTTGGCACAATCTTCAGAACAGTGGGTTTTTCTGATTGAAGAAAGTGTCTTCATAATTTCAAGGGCACCTGAAACAGTTGGAGAAATATTTTAAGAAACAACCACTGTATATCAAAAAACTGCAGTAGGAAAGAATAATAAACCCAAAATAACAACAACACACTGCTTGAATATTTAATCCCCTTGAATTTTTGCAAGGAATAAAAGAAGGTGATATAAAAAAAGGTAGACATGCTTCAATGCTGAATAAATATATAGAACCAAAGTAGATGGTTTAATGAAAAAGTATTAACTTATGTGAGAATAGCA